AAAAAAAAAGGATTTTTTTTTTCTTCTGGGTAGATGCCTACTGATGGGATTGGAGGATCAAATGGGAAGTTAATTTGAGTTCTTTGAGGATTCGCCATACTTCTTCCAAAAGGGTTGTATTAGTTTGCAGTCCCACCAGCAGTGTAAAAGTGTTACCTTCTCTCCACATCCATGCCAGCATCTGCAGCTTTGAGACTTTATGATATGGGCCATTCTCACTGGGGTTAGGTGATATGTCAGGGTAGTTTTGATTTGCATTTCTCTGATGATTAGGGACGAAGAACATTTTTTCCTACATTTATTAGAAATTTAATTTTATTTTTTTGAGACAGAGTCTCATTATGTCATCCTCAGTAGAGTGCTGTAGCATCACAACTCACAGAAACCTCAAACTCTTGGGCTTAAGCAATTCTCTTGCCTCAGCCTCCCAAGTAACTGGTACTACAGGTGCCCGCCACAACACCCAGCTATTTTTTTTTTTTTTTTTTTGCAGTTGTCATTGTTGTTTAGCAGGCCCAGGCTCAAACCTGCCACCCTCTGTGTATGTGGCCAGTGGCCAGTGCCCTACCCATTGTGCTATGGGTGCTGCCCAGAAATTAAATTATTTTTGAAAGAGGTTCAAAGTACAGTAAGTATATTATTTTTTTTAACTCTTATCAATATAATTTAAGTGTGCTGTGAAAGTTTAACTATAGGTTCAAGTGTGCCATGAGATAAAAAGGTTGAAAAATACTTTTGTAGTCAGCTGTGATTGCACCACTGTACTCCAGCCTGGGTAACAGAGCAAGACACTGTCTAAAGACATAATGAAATGAAATGAAATATGAAACAAAATAAAATAAATTTTTTTAAGATAGAGTCTCACTCTGTCATCTCAGGCAGAGTACTGTGGCATTATAACTCACAACAACCTCACACTCTTGGTCTCAAGCTTGCCTCAGCCTCCCCAGTAGCTGGGAGTGCAAGTGCCCACCATGGCTAATTTTTCTATTTTTAGCAGAGACCGGGTCTCGCTCTTGCTCAGGCTGGTCTCAAACTCCTGAGCTCAAGCAATCTAAGCCTCCTAGAGTGCTGTGATTACTGGTGTGAGCCACTGTGCCTGGCCAATAAAATAAAAATGTCAAAGGCTGGGTGCAGTGGCTCATGCCTATAACCCTAGCACTCTGGGGAGGCTCAGACGGGTGGATTGCCTGAGCTCAAGACCAGCCTGAGGCAGAGCGAGACCTCGTCTCTAAAAATAGCCAGACATTGTGGTGGGTGCCAGTAGTCCCAGCTACTCAGGAGGCTGAGGCAAGAAAATTGCTTGAGCCCAAGAGTTTGAGGTTTCTGTGAGCTATGATGCCTTAGCACACTATCCAGGGCAACAAAGTGAGACTCTGTCTCAAAAAATAAATAAATATGGGCAGCGCCTGTGGCTCAAAAGGGTAGGGCACCAGTCCAATATGCCGGAGGTGGCAGGTTCAAACCCAGCCCTAGCCAAAAACTGAAATAAATAAATAAATAAATAGGCTCAGCACCTGTAGCTGAAGCAGCTCAATATACCAGAGCTGGTGGGTTCGAATCCAGCCCGGGCCTGCCAAACAAGGACAACTACAACAAAAAAATAACCAGGTGTTGTGGTGGGCACCTGTAGTCCCTGCTACTTGGGAGGCTGAGGCAAGAGAATCACTTAAGCCCAGGAGCTGGAGGTTGCTGTGAGCTGTGATGCCATAGCACTCTACCCAGGGGGACAGCTTGAGGCTCTGTGTCAAAATAATAATAATTAATAAATAATAAAAATTTTAAAAATCCAGTAGAACCTCCATAATTGACCACTTCCTTACATTGACCACCTTCTTAAATTGACCTAATTTTCTTTTTTTTTTTTTGCAGTTTTTTTGTCCGGGGCTGGGTTTGAACCCGCCACCTCTGGCATATGGGGCCAGCGCCCTCCTCCTTTGAGCCACAGACACGGCCCCATTGGACATAATTTTCATAGGTTGAACTTGTACAACATGAACGTACCAGTACAGCAGGCCTATTTCCTTATGTTGACCACCTCTGTATGTTGACCAGTTTGTTACAGTCCCTTTAGTGGTCACTTATAGAGGTTCTACTATAATAAGCAATATACCTGTTCATGCTGGATGGAGCCCATAATTTTGTTGTTTCATTGCAAAATAGTTCAAGCCTTAAGTGTTGGCAAGTGTTTGGGCTGCTGACCTGAAATAGCTGACCTGAGTAGATTAGGCCACAGATCTCCAGTTTCTGAGGCATGTTATAGCTGTTTCCAGAAATTTCGAGAATGTGACTACTTGGTTCTGTCTTTCCCTGGTGGCTGTGAGAGGGGCTGGGGGCATTTCTCTCTCTCATACAGGCTTCCAAGCCCCTTCCCAGGGTAAGGAAGGGGGTTGAAGGGGCTACGGAAGAGGCTGGGAGCCACTATACTCTGTCTAGAGCCCCAGATGTGAGCTCTGTGGTGACTCCCTCCACCGCCTGTGCTGCTGGGATGGGGTTCAGCTCATCCAACTACTAATGGGCTGGCAAAGTTCAGACTGAGCTGCCACAAACCCATTCCGCAGATGGGGAGACTGAGGCCCAGAGAGTTACTACTATTATGATTATTGGTGTCAGCTGTTTGCCAGGCCCTCATTCTTCCCTCACAGCTATGGGCTATGGATCCTGGGGTTTTCACTTTTGTATTTTGAAAATAATTTATTGTGTTGAAATTCACACAACATAAAAGTTACTTTTTTAAACAGTACAGTTCAGTGGATTTTGGTGTATTCAGTGTTGTGCAAGCATCCCCTATATCTGAGTTTGCAACACTCACGGTTAGTAAAGGAAGGGGCTAAGGCCACAGCTTCCGGCCTGACCTCCAAGAATTTGGTGGACCCTCCCTTTAACTCTCCCAACCAAGTCTGTGTCCCATTCCCCTTCCACCCAGGAGGTCCCCCTCCTGAGGCACCTAGACTGGAAGGGATGGGTGGCCAGCAGGGAAACAGACCCTGATGGGGGAAAAACCAAAAAATTAGGGACAACACCTGTGGCTCAAAGGAGTAGGGCTCTGGCCTTATATGCCGGACGTGGCAGGTTCAAACATAGCCCCGGCCAAAACTGCAAAAAAAAAAAAAAAAAAAGCCCTAAGAATTAGGAGATCACAGCTTTGGGGCAGCTCCCTGGACTACTGGCTTATCTGCTTACCTAGCAGAGTTTATGTGTGGCTGTTTCTTTTCCTTCCTTCTTTACTTTTCTCTCTCCTTTCTTTTCTTTTTTGGACAGCTTTATTGAAGTATATTTGATATACTACGCAATTCACCCATTTAATAATTCAGTGGCATTTATTTGTTCATTTTATTTATTTTTAGATAGAGTTTGCTCTATGGCCCAGACTGGAGTGCAGTGGTGTGATCACATCTCACTGTACCTTCCAATTCCTGGGCTCAAGGAATTCTCCTGCCTCAGCCACCCTTCAATGGCATTTAATACATTAACAGGGCTGTGCAATCATCACCACTATCCAATTCCAGAACCTTCCATCACCCCAAAAGGAAGCCACAGCCCCATTCCCATTAGCAGTCATTCATAGCCCGTCATCTAGCTCCTGATACCCATGCATCTACTTCTCATCCCTGTGGATCTGACTGTTTTGAACAATTCACATAAATGGAATCAAACACTGTATGTCCTTCTGGATCTAGGTTCTGTCACTGAGCACGAGGTCCTCAAGGTCCATCCACATTGTAGCCTGTATTGTAGCCTTTGTTTCTTTTCATGGCTTAGTGATATTCCAGTGTGTGGATGGGCACGGAGTTTATTACATTCATATTTGTATTAAGTAATTTCATCCCTGTGAGATGGGGCTGTTCTTTTTTTTTTTTTGAGACAGAGCCTCAAGCTATTCCCCTGGGTAGAGTGCCATGGCATCACAGCTCACAGCAATCTCCAACTCCTGGGCTCAAGCGAGTCTCCTGCCTCAGCCTCCCAAGTAGCTGGGACTACAGGCGCCCGCCACAACGCCTGGCCATTTTTTTGGTTGCAGCCATCATTGTTGTTTGGCGGGCCCGGGCTGGGGATTCGAACCCGCTATCTTAGGTGTATGTGGCTGGCGCCTTAGCCGCTTGAGCCACAGGCGCCGAGCCATGGGGATGTTCTTGTTGACCCCGTTTGACAAATGGGGAAGCTGATGCTCAGAGAGGTAGAGTTTCCCACCCAGAATCACAAACCATAACAGATTCAAACCTAGGCTGTGGGCCCTGGAGCCCGGGGATGCAGCTACCTGCGACCCCTGTGGGAGGGGACCTGGAAGTGAGGTTGTCCCCGGACATCAACCAGTGTCCCGGAGGTTGCAAGATACCCCTTTATTGAAAACCATTGCCTTACAGGAAAAAAAAATCCTCAAGACATAAGTTGGGGAGAAAGATGTTTCTGTGTGGTCTTGGGAGGGAACTAGAGACACATGTGGCTCTGGCCTCCCTTCTTCCCATTCCCCTGTCTTGTCCCAGCTGAGTTGTGCTTCCTAGTGGTTTCCAGCTTACCCCAGCTGCTGGGCACTTAACTGTGTCTCACTTTGTGGGGCCACTGGGACTTCATGGGGGCAGGTGACTGCTGGGGTAGACAAGACTGGCATGTGTTGCTCTGAGGGCTGTGCCATGCTGCCCACTTGTCCAGGGAACCCTGACTTGGGTTGGGCTGCAGTCAGCTTCCCCACCCTGAGGAAGGCCAAGGCCCTGAGCTCAAAGCCCCTGCATTTCCCCAGAGTCCGGATGTAACCCCTTAACTCTCTGAGGCTCCAAAGGTTGAAGGAGGAAGTGGAGACCCTGCCCAGTCATGGGGCAACATCAACCGTCTCTTCACATTGAGGCTATAAGAGGAGTGGGTGGCAGGGGGCCCTGGATGCAGACCATGGCCCACTGCCCTACCCTTGCCTCTGTCCTGCTGGCCTTGATGCTGGGCGGTGAGTGGGGCCACCATCCATCCATCTGCCCAGCCCAGGGGACTGGGCTGATCCTGGATAATGTCCACCCGTGAGGTTCAGTCCAGTGCCCTCCCTTCTGGCACAGTGGAGACTGAGGCAAGACTAGGGCAGGACAGCATGCCTCAAGGAGAGGAAAAGACGAGAGAAAGCGGAGCTCTGGGCAGTTGGACTCAGTTTCCCATCTAAGAAATGGGCAAACCCAGTCTTTCCGTCCCAGGGGCTGCTAAGGGGATTAACAATAGCAAGCAGATTTCTGGACCATTCCTGACACACAGACGGCACCCTGAAGGGAGCCTGCAAGGGGTGGCTAGACTGTAGTCAGAAGAAGAGGCCACGGAACCCCTTCAGGACCTAGCCAGATGAGGATGTTAAATGCCTCCTTTTGTCCATCTGCTAAAATGGGTCACCCTGCCAGCTGATTTTTTCTGATGCATAAAGCCTCTCTCCAGGCTCTGGCAGTGCCCTGGCTGTCATGGGACGCTAAGTTTGCAGATGAGGTTTTGAAGGTTCAGAGAGGTCCAGGCACCAGCTCAGCGGGCCACCGGTACTGGGGGCTCCCTGGGCCCTGACTCGGCGGCCCCCACAGGTGCAGCCCGGGCTGCGGAGATTGTGGGCGGGCGGGAGGCGCAGCCCCACTCGCGGCCCTACATGGCATCCTTGCAGTTGCGCGGCACCCAGGGCAGCCACTTCTGCGGAGGCACCTTGATCCACCAGCGCTTCGTGCTGACCGCAGCGCACTGCCTACAGGACATGTAAGTGCGCGTGTGCGGAGGGGCGCTGGCCTCAAGCGGTTGGCACAGGTGGTCCCGCTGGGCCGCCTGCTTTCTCTCTGGCAAGAGCGGGACAGGGTTGGGTAAGTGTCCCGTAGGGGACAGTCGCCAGTGGAGGGACCTACAGGTTGCTCCGCGAGCCTCGGGAGGAGACTTGCGGTGGGGATGGGGTGGCAGAGGACACCCACCGAATATTGAGCACCTGACCCTGCAGCCCTCATCAGCTGGTGAACGTGGTGCTCGGAGCCCACGACCTGCAGACGCCTGAACCCACACAGCAGCAGTTCCTTGTCGCTCAAGTGTTCCGAAACAACTACAACCCAGAGAACAACCTTAACGATATTCTCCTCATCCAGGTAAGTGCTGGAGGCTTGGGGGGTTGGAGGGGCGGGTCTAACCAGGGTCCTGGGACTTTCCATCTCTTCATAGCTTCAGCAAACATTTATTGAGCACCTACTGTATGTGCAGCCTGGTCCCTGTTTTTTAAGAGACAAGGTCTCTCTCTGTCACTCAAGCTGGAGTGCAATAATGTGAATAGAACTCACTGCAGCCTGGAACTTCTCGCCTGAAGTGGTCCTCCTACCTCTGCCTCCTGAGTAGCTGGGAGTACAGCAAACCCAGCTAATTAAAAAATTAGAGATATGGTTTTGTTTTTTTGAGACAGAGTCTCACTTTGTTGCCCATGGTAGCGTGCCATGGCATCATAGCTCACAACAATCTCCAACTCTTGGGGCGGTGCCTGTGGCTCAAGAAGTAGGGCTCAAGCCCCATATACTGGAGGTGGCGGGTTCAAACCCAGCCCTGGCCAAAAACAAACAAACAAAAACAATCTCCAACTCTTGGGCACAAGTGATTCTCACTCTGGCTCAGACTGGTCTCAAATCTGTGAGCTCAGGCAACCACCTGCCTCAGCCTCCCAGAGTGCTAGGATTACAGGCATGAGCGATGGTACCCAGCCTTAGAGATGAGGTCTTGCTATGTTGTCCAGTTTGGTCTTGCTCAAACTCCTGGGATGAAATGATCCTCCTGTGTTCAGATCCTCCTCCAAAGGAGCTGAAATTGAGATGGCACTCTGTCCCTGCTGTGTCTCCCCATCCCTGTGCAGTTTCACCCAGATTCTCTCCCCTCTGCCAACCTCCCCTGCCCCTACCTGAAACAACGAGGATAACCACCTCCCTTTTTGGGTCACTATTCTCCACCATTAGGCTGTGTTGCAATTACCTGTCTTATTTATGTCTTCTTCCTGACCACCTTCCACCATAAAATATCAGCTCCCTGGTCATGGTGGATTTCATCTGTGTTGATCACTGCTGGACTCCTGGCTCTTAGAACAGGACTGGGCATACAGTTGGTGCTTAATAACTGCTTTGTAAATGAATGAATGGAATAGTGACATATGCTACGATGGTGTGGGGGTGTTGTGGGGTCCAGGTAGAGGGAAGGGTGCCATTGAAGACCTAGAGGAGGCACTTTGAAGTAGTGGGCAGTGAGGTGGGAGGGGCATCTGGGTGGGTGGTCACAAGTTTTCACCCCAGCCTGTGCTATGCCACAGCTCGACCACCCAGCTAACCTCAGTGCTGATGTCACCACCGCTCAGCTGCCCCAGCAAGACCAGCCACTACTTCATGGCACCCCGTGTCTAGCTATGGGCTGGGGCCGTCTGGGTAGCCGGGCCCCAGCATCCAGCACCCTGAAGGAGCTCAACGTCACCGTGGTCACATTCCTATGCCGGCCGCACAATGTGTGCACATTCGTCCCCCGCCGCAGTGCTGGCATCTGCTTTGTGCGTACCCACCTCCACAGGAGCTGCCTTGCTACTGGGAGAACCATCCTGGGGAGGGTGGGCTGAGGCTTGAAGCTTTTTCTTGGCAGTGCAGCACACTCTGTACCTCAATCTCCCCATCAGGAAAGTGGGCACAGTCCTAGTGTGGATTCATGGGTGATGCACATCCATGTTGCCCTTGACTGTCTTTGAGGGTATGGGGGCTCCCCATCCCAGGCCCCTTTTGTACCCCAGGAAGGTGCAGGTGCCCCATCTGCCAGGTCCTGGGGGCCCCACCCAGAATCCTGTAGGTCAGGTATCCAGCAGAAGGCCTTTAAATATCCACTGCCCTACAGTGACCTCAGCCCCCTCTTCCATTCACACATTGTAAGGAAAATTCCAGTCTGGAAGCATTTACCCCTGAACAGCCTCCCTTTGGACAGACTGAGTGATTGATGCTGCATCCATCCTCCCAGGGAGACTCTGGTGGCCCCTTGATCTGCAACAACACCCTCCAGGGAGTGGACTCCTTCGTGATCCGGGAATGTGCCACTGGCCAGTATCCTGACTTCTTCGCACGAGTGGCCCTCTACGTGGACTGGATTCACTCCGTGCTGCGTGGCACTGGGGGTGAGGGCAGCCACTGAGCCTAGGCAACAGGCCCTAATGAAGAAACCTCAGGCAGAGGCAGACCTTTTCCAGAAAACTGCTTCCTCCTTGGCCAGGTCCAGGATAGCCCCCCACCCCAGTGCCCCTGGGAGCCAGGCCAACCCTGCACCCCACCCCATGAAGACATCAATAAAAGTTGGAATTCCTCCCTGACTCTTCAGTTCTTCCCCCATGGGGAGAGGTGGGGAGAACTGCTCAGCACCCCTGTGTTCAAGTCCCAGAGCACCATACTCTGGGTGACGGTGGGTCTTACTACCAGATGCCCACAGAATGTGGGTTCTAACCCAGCTCCACTAGTGTGCCCCTAGGCTAGTTGCTGAGTCTTTATGCCTCAGTTTCCTCATCTGGGAAATGGATTCACCCCAGACATTTCCTAGCACAGTCAAGGAGCTCTACCCTGGCCCTGGTCGCTCCAACTCTGTCTCTCCCAGCTCAGGGGCGCCTTGAGGATCAGGCTGTTTGTTATAACACAGGGTTGGCAGGACAGGGCTGGAGAAGCATCCATGGCCCGTGGGGCTCCTGATCCAGCTGGCGGTAGGCAGAAGGGCTGTAGGGGAGGAGGGCTTCCTGAAGGAGGTGGCAACTCCTGAGCTAAATACTGAGTGTGAATAGAAACGTAAGAAGGGCTGCCAATCAGGGACCACAGTGACTGCAAAGGGCTGAGTCGGTAGCAAGTGTGGGGTGTAAGGAGCAGCAGGGGATGCAGAGAGGCTGGAATAGAGCAAGAGGATGGGGAGAAAAGCTGGTGGAGGGAGTGACATTGAAGCATAAAGGGCCACGGGGGCCCCAACAATGAGATGAGCATGGACTCCCATTTCTCAGGGAAAGGGTAGGCAGTGAAGGAATACTCTGTGGCAGCATGAGAAATGAACTGAGGGTTCTTTTCTGAACTGAGGAAAAAGGAGGAGGTCACAGGCCAGCTGTAGAGAAGGGCGAGTGGCCATGAGAATGAGGCCTCATGCCACGAAGGCTCACTTGCTCCAGGATGCACAGGCATCAGAAGGCAGCTCCTGCCTTACTGGTTTACTATGCTGCCACCTGTTGGTAGCATACCAATTCCAGCAGGCATGAGAGTACACAGGCCTGTCCCCCTTCCCTTTTTTTTACTTTGCATATTGATGTATTTATTTCGTATATGTATATATAAATTAAAAATAGTGTTGTCTCACTATTTTTGAATGAATAAGTCTAGTCAGTGAATAACATTCACACACAATGGATGTCTTACTTATTGGGATTGAGCTGTTAAATATTTTAAAAGGAAAACGACATTTTTTTTTTTTTTGAGACAGAGCCTCAAGCTGTCCCCCTGGGTAGAGTGATGTGGCATCACAGCTCACAGCAACCTCCAACTCCTGGGCTCAAGCAAGTCTCCTGCCTCAGCCTCCCAAGTAGGTGGGGCCACAGGCACCCGCCACAACACCCAGCTATTTTCTGTTTGCAGCCATCATTGTTGTTTGGCGGGCCTGGGCTGGATTTGAACTCACCACCTTAGGTGTATGTGGCTGGCGCCTTAGCCACTTGAGCCACAGGCGCCGAGCCCAAAGATCAGATTTGGGAGAGAGTTAAAGATCACTTGTCCGGGTGTCTGAAGGTGCAGACTGATTGGATAGAGATTGGGTTGGGTTGCTGAAATTTAGAAAGAGAAACCCATAGGAATAGTAAATAGGGTGTTCAGCAAATGAGATTTGGTGGCCCTACGGTGTGAGGGGTCCTCTGAGGGGCCCAGGCAGGGGCCTATCCTGCTGGGGGCCACATAGCCCTGTAGGGCTTCTTCTGTTGCTCAGAGGGCCCCCAGTCTTGGAGCAGGGGAGACAGTCAAGTATATTTTCTTTTTTGGGACAGAGTCTCATTTCACTCTGTCCCTCTAGGTAGAGTGCCCAGGCATCATTATAGCTCACAGCAACCTTAAACTCATAGATTCCAGTAATCCTCTTGCCTCAGTCTCCTGAGTAGCTGGGACTACAGGTGCCCACCATAACGCTCATCTAGTTTTTTCTGTCTTTAGTAGTGATGAGGTCTTGGTCTTGCTCATACTGGTCTCAAACTCCTGAACTCAAGCAATCTCCCCACACCTTGGCTTCCCAGATTGCTGCTGGGCCCAGCCAACATTTGTCATTCTTAATTTTGTGAGCTCACGGCTCAGTGCCTGTGGTTGGAGCGGCTAAGGCACCAGCCACATACACCTAAGGTGGAGGGTTCAAATCCTGCCTGGGCCTGCCAAACAACAATGATGACTGCAACCAAAAAATAGCTGGGCATTGTGGCAGGTGCCTGTGGTCCCAGCTACTTGGGAGGCTGAAGCAGAAGACTCGCTTGAGCCCAGGAGTTGGAGGTTGCTGTGAGCTTTGATGCTACAGCACTCTACCCAGGGGGACAGCTTGAGGCTCTGTCTCAAAAAAAAAATGGGGGGGGACCTCAATGACTCTTTACATATGGACACCCCACCACTCTGATCTTAGAACTTTCTCAGCCTCCCAGGAGCCCTTGTATCCCACAGCATCTTATCCTACTTAGTGCCACTCATAATCCTACCTTCCTTAAGATAATCAGTGATTTTAAAAAACTCTCAAAGACAGTACTTTCTTGTCTAAGAACTTTACAAATGTTAATTCATTTAATCTTTGGGACAATTCCATGAGCTAGAGCCTATTATTATAGCTTCCCTTTTACAGAGAAGGAAACTGAGTCACAGAGCAGTTAATTCAGTGAACTGAAGGTACACAGTAGTGAAGTGGGGACCACACCAGAATCAGTAGATGAACCCAGAGTTGACACAATGTGTGTGATCAGAGTATATAAGTGCTCAATAAGGGCAGCTGCAATTAAGTCTAGTCCAAACCCCAACAAAAAACACAATCTCCTCCATTCTTCCCCTATTTGAAACAGGGTTGTATATATAGCAGTTTCTCACTAAGGGTTCCATGGTGACTTTAAGGCAGCAGGGTGGGGACCTATCAACAAGGGAAGGTGGCAAGACCAGTTAGTGTATCTGACCAAGCTAGGGACAAGAGCAGGCATAGATTGAGCGTCTGCTATGTGCCAGGCTCTGGGACAGCAGTGCAGTAGTCCCCACTGAAGAGATATGGGGTTCACTTGCCTGTGGTCACACATTGGAAGACCCAAGGACAATCTGGACTCCAGCCCCTCCAGCCCAGGGGGTGCCCCTGGGCTCCCCCACCCCACTGTTACTGGAGCCTGGTCCGTTGGGTCCTTCCCCCTTGCTTGTCCTGGGGCCAGGAAGACAGTTGCTTCTTGCAACAGCCTCACCAGGCAGTTGCAGCTGGAGTGCCCTAGGAAACACGGGAAGAGGAACCAAGAGGAATCAGGCCATGGAGGTGGGGGCTGGGCCCAAGGAATCCCATCCCCATCTTTTTTTTTTTTTTTTTTTTTGAGACGGAGCCTCAAGCTATCCCCCTGGGTAGAGTGCCATGGCATCACGCTCACAGCAACCTCCAACTCCTGGGCTCAAGCGAGTCTCCTGCCTCAGCCTCCCAGGTAGCTGGGACTACAGGCGCCCACCACAGCGCTTGGCCACTTTTTGGTTGCAGCCATCATTGTTGTTTGGCGGGCCCGGGCTGGGGATTCGAACCCGCCACCTTAGGTGTATGTGGCTGGCGTCTTAGCCACTTGAGCCACAGGCGCCGAGCCCCATCCCCATCTTTGGGGCTCTAAGTCTCCACCAGTTCCCCCAGGCAGAAGCTCTCAAGCTTGGGTAGAGATCAAGGGTCCACCTCCTGGCCCAGGAAGGAGCCCCTTTTCTAGGCCACTGCCTCAAGCAGACAGGGGGCTCAGCAGGGCTCACTCAGGTTGGGGGTGAGGGGAGTTCTTTCTTAGAACCTTAGATGCTGTCTGGAGAGGGACTGTGGCCCTGAGTGGGAGTGAGTTCCCCGTCCTGAGCAACGACCAAAGGGACATTGGAAGGCCAGGCCCTGAGAGGGAGCTCAGGGAGGTGGGCAGCAAGGCTGAAGCTAGAGTCAGCCTCAAATCACTAGCCAGTGGCAAATTCCAGGGGCCTGGGTTAACATTGCAGCTCATGGGGAGGCCTTCAATGTGCCTCAGTTTCCTCATCCTGACTGGGGAGCCAGCAGCCCTCTGGCACCCCTGTGAAATGTCAAAGTAGTGCTAGGTGCACCATGAATGCTAAACATCATTATATGTTTACATTATTGCAGTGTCCTGGGTAAACTGAGGTACATGGGACATAGAGGGACCCAATCAATGTCCCTCAAGCCTAGGTTTACCAGGTTTAGCAAAAGTAAAGGATGCCCAGTTAAATTTGAATGCCATAAAAACAATGACTTGTGTAGATGAGTAATATGTCCTGTGCAGTATTTGGGACATATACTAAAACAGATTGTTTCTTGATATTCAGATTTAATTGTGAGTCCTGACTATCGCCTTGTAGCCCTACTAGAGCCAACCCCAACCTCGTGCACACCCCTCCCCACTTCTTACCACTGCCCTGTGCCTTGGGGAGAGGAAGTGGGGGCACTGGCCAGCCATGGGGCAATGGCAACGGCCTCCTGGCATGGGGCTATAAGAGTAGCTGGATGGGCACAGTGGGGCAGAGACCCTGGAGCCTGTCCCCATCATGACCCTTGGCCACCGACCCTCCAGCCTTGCCATCATCTCTATCCTGCTAGCCTTGCTGCTAGATGGTGAGTGGGGCCACATGTCCATCTTTCTGCTTGTCCACATGTCCCAGGTGTCCATTCCCACCTCCCCGTTGTGCACTTGAGCAGGGTGGCCCCCTCATCCTACAGGGAGGTGACATCTGGGACAGGAAGACCGAAAGAGGAGACTGAGGTTCCAAGTGACAAGGCCACCACCAGGAGCTCAGAGCCAGGCTTATAAACCTGAGGACACTGGGCACCCTCAGTGTCTCGGCATCTGGGTTCAAGTCCAGATATGGCTGGGCCCTGGTGGAGAGACCATATGGAGGCCCCTTTGCCTCTCCATGCCTCAGTTTCCCCATCTGGGCAATAGAGGTGTGAACAGCCCTGGCCCTTTGGGTTCTCAGTGGATTCAAGGGGCCAATGGCCAGGTAGGGAGGAGGTTCCCAACAGAAACTCATTGCCTCCCACCCCTGTGTGTCCTCAGGCCCTGCATTGGCCTCAGAGATTGTGGGGGGCCGGCCAGCCAGGCCCCACGCGTGGCCCTTCATGGTGTCCCTGCAGCAGCGTGGAGGCCACTTCTGCGGTGGTACCCTGATTGCCCCCAACTTTGTCATGTCAGCTGCGCACTGCACAAACGGCTTGTGAGTGGTGGGACTGCCCATTTCCTTCAACCCTCAGCTTCCATAACAGTCGGATGTGAAGGGGAGGCTCCTCTTGGGCTGCCTCATCACCTCTTCCCCACTCTTTGCCTGCAGAAACTTCCGGTTGGTGCAGGTGGTGCTGGGTGCACATGACCTGAGTCAGCAGGAGCCCACCCGGCAGACATTTACTATCCAGCGTGTTTTTGAAAATGGCTTCGACCCCATACGTTTGCTGAATGACATCGTGATTCTCCAGGTGGGCATGGAAGGAACAGTGTGTTGGAGCCAGAGGGGTGAGGGACATGTCCAGAATGGTAGAGTCCAGAATGATAGACCTGAGATCAGATCCAGGCTGCATGTCAGTCTCTACCTCTGCAAAATGGGAAAATGCCCCCTGTAGGGCTAATGAGACACCAAGTGAGGTAGTGCAGGGAAGCTCTGAGCAGTTGTTGATCAACAAACTGTTGACCCTCTGCTCAAAGGCCCTGTGGCCAAGGGCAGGGACAGCCCCTGTTTGGGGGAAGTGGTGTGAGATTTGAGGGTGAAACTCCTTCATTTCCGCAGGCCCCACTTGAAAATCCAAGAGTATTCTCTGGAAAGGTTTAGAATGAGGGTTTGATCACCATTCATGTTGCCTGTAGTGTGTCTTATTAAGTACCTGTTGTTTACTGAATTCAAGCCACACCCAGAGACAGCCCCTGGCGATGCCCTGAGCCACCTCAGCTGCTCCCATTTCACAGGGGGAGAAAGCGAGGCTCAGAGTGGGGAGCAGCCTGCAGGTGTGTCTCCTGCTCCAAAAGATCCCTGACCATGATGGAGCCTGAGACAGGGAAACTGAGGCTCAGAGAGGGGAGGGTGGCTGCTCACCACCTCTGGTGCTCCATCCTGCCTGCCACAGCTCAACGGGTCGGCCACCATTAACGCCAACGTGCAGGTGGCCCGGCTGCCATCCCAGGACCGCGGGGTGGGCAATGGGACACGGTGCCTGGCTGTGGGCTGGGGCCGGCTGGGCACAAACCGGCCGGTGCCCAGCATCCTTCAGGAGCTCAACGTGACCGTGGTGACTTCGCTCTGCCGTCGTGCCAACGTATGCACACTTGTGAGACACCGGCGGGCTGGAATCTGCTTTGTACGTACCTGGTGTTCCCCTCAGCTCTCCACCTCACTCCCTGCCCAAGTTACAGCAATAGGGACTGCAGCCAGATACCAGGAAAGACTTTGAACCCTGCAGGATGGTGGGTGGGCAGGACGCCTTGCAGCCCCACCTCCCAACCTTGTCTACTTCTGCAGGGAGACTCTGGTGGCCCCCTGGTCTGCAATGGAGTGGTCCATGGGGTTGACTCCTTTATCCGGGGAGGCTGCGGCTCTGGCTTCTATCCAGATGCCTTCGCTCCAGTGGCACAGTTTGCAGACTGGATCAACTCTATCATCCGCAGCCCCAGGGACCACTTTCTTCCCCAGCCCAGGAACCCTGCTAGCTGGATCCACTAAGAAAGGCTGCCTTGGTCAGACCTACTCAGCTGCTCACAATTGCATTCTCCAGCATCTAGCACAATAAATATACTGTTTTGTAGAATGCGTCTGGTGTTTGTTGGCTGCGTAATGGTATATTAAAAATGGTCAGTAGAGGCTCGGCACCTGTGGCTTAAGCGGCTAAGGTGCCAGTCACATACACCTGAGCTGGCGGGTTTGAATCCAGCCCAGGTCTGCCAAACAACAATGACGGCTGCAACAAAAAATATCCAGGCGTTATGGCCGGCGCCTATAGTCCCAGCTACTTGGGAGGCAGAGGCAGGAGAATTGCTCGAGCCCAGGAATTGGAGGTTTCTGTGAGCTGTAACAG